CGCATGCCATATCCAAAGATCTTGGGAAGCTACAACCTCTAAAACGATCGTTGGTTTTCAAAGGCACGTGTATATTGTCCTTTCCAAGAGGTAGGGCAATTCTTCCGACTCCCAATGCATATCAATGTTTCCCATCATCCCGGGAAATCTTCGAATCTCTCAAATAAGGAGTAGCCGTTGAAGATCTTCTGTAGTGGGTTGTCGTAGGTACTCATCTCCAAAGCAATCAATAATTCCGTCAACAAAATGTTCCATGCACTTCATCGAAGTGGTTTCACCAATCCGGAGGTATTCGTCAACCGCCAAACCATATGCAAGCATACGAATTGCTGCTGTACACTTTTGTAGTGTAGAAAAACCGTATCTTCCTGTAGCATCTCTTTTTTGTTGAAAGAATGGAATTCTGGAGAGTCTATCAACAATACGCATGAATAATGGCTTATTCATTCTAAAACGGCGTCTAAATAGATTAGGAGGGAAAGTTGGATTTTCTGCGAAATAATCGTTCCATAACTGGATGTGTCCTTCTTCTCGATTTCTTTCAATATGGACTCGTTTTTTGCTCGATTTTTCGGCTTGCTGACGATCACCGTAAGAGTCCAAAGAATTATCCAACGCTTGCTGGAAAATATTGGATAATTCTTCGTCCAACGCTTCTTCGAAATTGTAATTGGAAGATGATGCCATTTTCTATGTAGAATTTTTAGGAAGAAAAGGACTTGGGTTAAGAACAAGATATTGAAGTGAAAAGAAATTGTTGTGAAAAGAAATTGTTGGTTTTAGATTCGAAACATTTAGTTTTGGTATAACATTTGGATTTTTTTTTTTTGTGACTTTGTAAGAAAAAAAAGAGAGTTTAGACGAGATAATTCAAGGTGATATTACAAGTTGATATTCATAGGCAATGTTCCTAAATAATACATGGTTACAAAGCAAAGAAGACTTGTGGTGCAAAGAATATTGAAGACTTGTGGTTACAAAGCATTTCTTTTTGAATCTGTGAACAAACAGAGACTATACAAGTGGTACAAAGCATATTGGAACTTGTGGTTACAAATAAGACTTCTGGTGTCTGTTAAAGTACAGAGTCAGACTTGTGGTTTAAAGCATTTTGTCCTCTTCTTCTCCTTTCACGTGAACCTACACAGAGTATACAAAGTTAGAACAGAAATATATATTGAAACAACACAAAACTAATTGAAACAGAGAGTTTATAGACAGAAATACATATTGAAACAACACAATAATTGAAACATAAACTTCATAATTAGACTTGCCTCTTAGCGTAAGTCATGGTAAACATAAACTTCATAATTAGATAGAAATAGAAGCAAGAAATTCAAAATGGAGACATAAATATAAAGACAGAAATACATGGAAGAAAATCAAAGCAAAATATTCCTAATTAACTTTGTCTTTAGTTCTTCCTCAATTTCAGTTAGATGATCTGATTTAAATAACAGAGATTCAAGCAACTTCTTGTTAGTAAGTTCCTTTTTGAAGGCATGTTCTTGCTACTTCAAAGCAAAATCTTTTTGCCTTATGTCCCATAAAGCGTGAATCCTTTCTACAGCCTGCCCTTCTTCTTCTACAAGTGGTGCAGTTGTGGCAGTCTTTTTGCGTTTTGCCTTGGCAGCCTTAATACCAGCTGGACGAGATTGAGATGCTTGAGACTCACCGTGGGCTTGGAAAGCATCAGAATCAACCTTCCTTCTTTTACACTTGTCAGTCAATTTAGTGGACTGCTCTTGACACCACTTCTGATCATGTCTCAACTTTCTCAATGCATGCTCCAAGTTGAACTTCTTTTCGTAGTCAGCCTCGTATATTTGGTGCGCAAGCTTAATCAGATCGTCATCATTCATACCACTAGACACCTGAGTTGCTGCAGCTTGGTAAGAACCCACAAACTTACAAACAATCTCATTTATCTTTGCCTACCTTTGTTTAAAGTGGGTTGGCTCTCTCTTTTTCTGACCAGATATATTGGGACTTGAAGCAAAATATGCTGCAATCCGCTTCCAGAAGGCTGCTGCTCTTTGCTCATTGCCAACAATGGCATCTTTACTTGAGTTCACCCACGCACAGATTAAAACTAAATCTTCTTTCACTGTCCACTTGTTTCTCTTTCTTGGTGTGGATATAGCTTTGTCGCTTTGACCTTGACTTGTAGCTTCTGTCCATTGGGTGCTGTAGGCAGGGACTTCAGATTCACCAAGTCTAATATTTGATGATGCTGTCTCATAAGTATTGGGTTCTTGTTGACTTGTTAACAGCTCCATGAAGCCAGCAGAGTTAGTATATGGATTCATTTAGAGAGTTTCAGGGAGTTTACAAAGGGAATGAAAGAGGATGACAGAAAATTCTCAGAATAAAAGAGAATGAAAGAGAGTGGGAATTCTGAGAGAATGAAAGATAATTCTCATAATGAAAGAGGTTAGGTTTATTTATGTGTTAGTGCTTATTTACAGTTGAAGTTAGCATTCAATGGAAAACTTAAGTATAAACCTAATGAAAAGCAAACAAGCATTGAACACATACAAGTGTAATCACTACACAAAGCATTCAATAGAACTGATGTAGACATTCTAATTTAACATCAAAACAGACAAATAGCAAACAATTAAAGACACTCTAAAAGCATTTATCACAAAACTGACACAACCAACAACACTCAAGTCTCACCTAATATTAACTAAAGAATAATCAATGTTCTAAATGGAGTTAAAGATAGCATTTAGATATCTTAATGTCTGGCCATTAAACTGTGAAAGAATCACGCAGCTTATGATCCTCACAGTCCATCTCCACTCCTCTCAGTTCTCTCATCTTTATGTCCAATTAACACCATATCTCACAATAAACAGAAAACAATAAATCAAATTCAAGATTAAGAAACAAAACAGATTAACATTTTAAAATAAAAATCTCGAATAATCCTAACAATCATGCGAATTGCAATAAAACTAATCAACATCATTAATAAAATTAAAATCCAACAGATCCGTAATCCCAAAAATCATCCACACTGATCAAAAACAGAGTATTACGATTCAACATAGTGTTAACCAAGCCTAGTTTGTTTACAATCATGTTTACAATCATGCTTAATAAAGTATTACAATCATGCTTATTTACAATCATGTTTACAAAAACAGAGTATTACAAAGTATTAACCAAGCCTAGTTTGTTTACAATCATGCTTAACAACGAATAACACTTTTTCCCCAAATCCAGAAACCCTAATTTAACAAATCCGAAGAACCCTAATTAGAAATTAGTTAAACAATACAGACACACACTCAATCATGCTTCTAATTACCCAAATTAAACACTTAAAAACGAATAACCCCTTTTCCCCAAATCCAGAAACCATAATTTTAGAAATCCAAAGAACCCTAATCAGAAATTACTTAAGCAATACAGACACACACTCAATCATGCTTCTAATTAGCCAAACTAAACACTTAACAACGAATAACCCCTTGTCCCCAAATCACGAAACCCTAATTTCTCAAAACCGAAGAACCCTAATTTGAAATTAGTTAAATACATCGATTCACACAATGAGATAGACATGCATACCTTGAAAAAGAGATAATTGAAGATAAGGATCCGATTTCGACTCGAAACTGGGAGATCCGGTGAACTTCTCCCCAATTTCGCAATCCAACCTCGCAGCTTTGGTGAATCGAAGACGCCATGGAGAACCGGAGACGGTGGAGAAGATGGCCTAACGGAAGAACGACGGCCGGCGGTCATTCGCGTCGGAGATTCCTCCGATTCGAGTCGAAATTCGCAATTCGCCTCCGGTTTCTTCTTTGTCGCATATCGCGATTTCAGAGAAAGAGAGAGAGAAAGAAAAAAAAACACGGATTCGTTGTTTTCCGCTTATATATTAAAAATAACACCCAATGATCACGTGCTACGTGACCCCTCTTAAAACAGAAAATGTGCCTTAACTAAGAAACATTTCCGATTTAAATTAAATTATTCTAAAACCTAAGATTTGCTTAAAAACCTGCGGATAATCCTGCTCTTAGAGAGTAAGTTAGAATATGGATAATCAGATGGGACATTATCCAATCTTAATAAAAAGTACGAAGCCGTAAAAGAAAAACTTAACATGAACACTTAAGTTTCATCGTCAACTTGAGATACAAGTCCAAATAATTCCGACACAACGAAATAAAGGTAGAGGAGACAGAACAGAGAGTAGTATGCGCATTACCAAACACATAACTGTCAATAGAGACCTCTCTTACTTCCATTCTCTACTCAAATCTTGTATTCATGGTGAAATCTCTTCTTCTTCTTCTTCTTCTTCTTCTTCTTCTTCTTCTCCAATCACTATCTTCCGTGACTTACTCCGTTCCTCTCTTATACCAAATCATTTCACTATGTCTATCTTTCTCCAAGCCACTACTACCTCTCTCAATTCCTTCAAGTTACAAGTCAAACAAGTCCAAACCCATCTCACAAAATCAGGTCTTGATCAATTCGTTTACGTGAAAACATCTCTTCTTGATCTCTACTTGAAGAAGGGTTGTGTAACTACTGCACAAATGTTGTTCGATGAAATGCCTGAGAGAGATACTGTTGTTTGGAATGCATTGATTTGTGGGTATTCACGAAATGGTTATGAATCTGATGCGTGGAAGCTTTTTATTGTAATGCTTCAGCAAGGGTTTTCTCCTTCTGCTACTACGCTTGTAAATTTGTTACCTTTTTGTGGACAATGTGGATTTGTTTCTCAAGGGAGGTCTGTTCATGGTATTGCTGCAAAGTCTGGCCTTGAAATGGATTCTCAGGTGAAGAATGCGTTGATTTCGTTTTACTCAAAGTGCGCGGAGTTGGATTCTGCGGAAGTCTTGTTTAGAGAAATGAAAGACAAAAGCACAGTTTCATGGAATACAATGATTGGTGCTTATAGCCAGAGTGGTCTCATGGAAGAGGCCATCACTGTTTTCAAGAATATGTTTGAGAAGAGCGTCGAAATTAGTCCGGTCACTATCATCAATCTTCTTTCGGCTCATGTTAGTCACGAGCCACTACATTGTCTTGTTGTTAAAAGTGGAATGGTGAATGATATATCTGTGGTTACTTCTTTGGTTTGTGCATATTCAAGGTGTGGGTATTTGGATTCAGCAGAGCGTCTTTATGCATCTGCTAATCAAGATAGTATTGTTGGCTTAACTTCGATTGTTTCAAGCTATGCCGAGAAAGGAGATATGGACATAGCGGTTGTGTATTTTTCTAAAATGCGTCAGCTGTGTATGAAAATCGATGCTGTAGCTTTGGTTGGAATTCTCCATGGATGTAAAAACTCTTCCCATATCGACATAGGAATGTCGTTACATGGTTATGCGATCAAAAGCGGATTGTGCAGAAAAACGCTGGTTGTGAATGGACTAATAACGATGTACTCTAAGTTTGATGATGTAGAGACTGTCCTGTTTTTATTTCAGCAACTGCAGGAGACTCCTCTAATTAGCTGGAACTCAGTGATATCCGGGTGTGTACAGTCTGGAAGGGCAAGCACAGCATTTGAGGTGTTCCATCAGATGAAGTTAAGTGGTGGACTTTTGCCGGATGCCATTACGATAGCAAGTTTGCTTGCTGGCTGCTCCCAGCTCTGTTGCTTGAATTTGGGGAAGGAACTTCATGGTTATACTCTTAGGAACAATTTTGAAAATGAGAATTTTGTTTGCACTGCTCTGATAGATATGTATGCCAAATGTGGAAACGAAGTACAAGCGGAAAGTGTGTTCAAGAGTATAAAAGCTCCGTGTACAGCAACATGGAACTCAATGATATCAGGATACAGCTTATCGGGGTTACAAAATCGAGCTCTTTCTTGTTACTTGGAAATGCGAGAGAAGGGGTTGAAACCTGACAAGATCACGTTTTTGGGGGTTCTGTCTGCATGTACCCATGGAGGCTTTGTCGATGAAGGAAAAATATATTTCAGAGCAATGATCAAAGAGTTTGGAATATCGCCATGTTTACAGCATTATGCACTTATGGTTGGTTTGTTGGGAAGAGCATGTTTATTTACTGAGGCATTGTATTTAATTTGGAAGATGGATATAAAGCCGGATTCTGCAGTATGGGGTGCTCTGCTTAGCGCGTGCATTATTCACAGAGAGTTGGAGGTTGGGGAATATATAGCTAAGAAAATGTTTATGTTGGATTACAAGAATGGAGGGCTATATGTATTAATGTCAAACCTATATGCAACAGAAGCAATGTGGGACGACGTAGTCAGAGTCAGGAAGATGATGAAAGATAATGGATATGATGGTTACTTGGGAGTTAGCCAAATATAATAATTTCAATCTGAGAAACAACAGAACAGGTTGCTTATACGTTCTGTTAATACCTCAGTATTTTCGCCTGATAGTGTGGCGATGGTGAGGAGAAATAACTGGACAGCTCGAACAGAATATTTGTTGCTCAAGCTTCATTGATGAAGGTTTCTCGGAATCCTTGATAAAGCCTTGAAGAATATATTATAGATCATCGACCATATCTCTATCCAGCTGAAAACGACAAAAGAAACTAGTTGTGGTTGATTTGTAGATGACTTCTTGTGGGAGCTGCAAATACATAGAACAGAGCTACTCATAAAGTATGTTCTAATCTTATCTTCGAAGCTTGAACTGTATGTACTCTAAGACCTCGCCTTTCAAGAAATTAGAATGATTTTTCATGTTGTAGTTTTGTTTTCTGGCTTGCAAAGACCTCGTTGCAACTCGTGAAGAATTCTTTCAGCATATGCAGACTGAAATGTTGCATTTGCATATCTGTTGGGTTTAACTCACGAAATTTGATGGCTAGGTACATAGGTGATAGGTCATTTTCAGAATGTTGCGTTCGTGTTTAGTTTTATGGCTGCCATATATCTGAAATCAGTCTCTCTATTGTGACACTAATGGGCTTGGAGTTTCTTGAGTTGTCATGAATTTATTAATCTTTAAGGTAAGTAGTAGGTAACATTCATATTCTGCATTAGTACATGTTTTTGAGTGCTTGTTCTGAATACAGATGATCTTTCTCAAATTCGAACAATATTTATGCTGATTTTCTTGATATTTTTTTTTGTTGTCTTAAAGGTGTGCATGTAATATCTTTCGAATTGCCATATCAAAGTGGATGGTTCTGTGTAATAATTGGCTGATATCTCCTTCATCTGAGCTCTCCGTATGATGCAACTGATGGATCCAAAGCTTTAGGTAAGTCAACTTTGAACCCGATCCCACTGCATAATTATGATAAAACGAAAATCTGATCTTTTAGCATATTGAAATATTACAAAATCAAGATCTAAATCTTCTATAAACAGTGATGAAACTCCTCAACAATGTACATTGTACATGAGATCTTTTTTTGGGTACTAAGCAAAGATATATAAATGATATTGTGTCTCTTTCTCTTTGTCTTATAATTAGGACCCAAGACCTAACTATGACTCCCACTGCATCTATCGTCACCGGTCAAACCATCTCTCTTCATCTTCTCCTCTTTAGCCTTTCGACAAAACACAACCCACGAGTTAACTTCCATGGCCACACAGACACCAACCAGCGTCGACAGACAAAGACAGTAACCAAGCTTCGCATATGACCTTCCTTCCCTTAAAACCTCAAACCCTTGGAACACATTCACCACACCCATCACCACACACGCATACCCGACAAAATGATGGTAAGACTTCCAGTACCTCCGGAACTTATTGGTCGTCTTTGGTCTGAACAGCAAAGCCAGTGTTTGCAGCGCCGCCGCTGTGAACGTCGCTATCCCAAGGCTTCGATGTAACCCGTAGGTCACTCCAGGGGAATTATGGCCGAGCACGATTCCAATGGAGAAGCCAATGGTTCCTAGGAGGAAACCGGTTAGCTGTATTGCTGCGTGAATGTAGAACCAAGTGGGTCCTATTGATTGCATTTGGCGGAGGTATCGAGCTGTTACTGCTCCTGCCGGGAGGAGAAAACCCCATGCCACCGCGTTGATTACTCCGTGAGTCACTTTTAAAGCTCTGGAACCGCTGTTTCGATTAACCGTTGCAAATCCTGTAGAAAGAAACAGTATAAGATCAAACTTGATGTGATTTATTTTGCATATGTTAGATATTGAGAGAGAATTTGGATACCTGAAGCGACATCGAATGTGGAGAAGGAGGAGAGATCGATGGAAGTAGTGGGATGAATAGTGGGAGAGTAACCTTGGACATAAAGACCTCTGTTCCAAACATGATGGATCTTGGTATTGTTCGACGAGAGCTTAACGGATGCATAAATCTGAACGGAAGCACCATTACGGATAGTGGCCATTTTACCACCGTAGAGAGAAGCAGAGGAGGAAGAGAGACGGACAAGGTCAAGCGGACGGGAAAGCAGAGGACCTTTCTGAAGCTTAACAGAGGAGTCAAGTACGTAAGGAAGGAGAATGAGCTGACCAGAATTTGGATCCGGAAAGGCGATGAAGACACGAGAGCCAGTCATCTGCGCCGGAGAATCCGGGTTAATCCCCCACCCAACCCATCCGGAAGGTGAAATGAAAGTTCCAAAGAAACAAAGGTCTAGAGTAGCGTTGTGTGGATGGTATGTCCACGCGATTGACGCTTGTTGTGTCGGAAGAGAGATGCATTTCTCGAAGCTTTTCGTTGCCGTCGTGGTGGTGCAGTGCCCCGCGAGAGAGCTGGGAAGCTTTGTTGCTAGAAGAAACAAGAATGTTAGAATCAAAGTCGCCATTGTTTGATCATCTCTGTTTTTTTTTCTGTTAATAGAGTCAAGACTTTTTATATGTGTAGTGAAACTTAAGAAATATGATTGTTACCAGAAAATCAATGACGCTTTTTTTATATTTTATTTAAAAGTTGAAATTATGATTTTTCATGGAAGTCTTTGCTTTGAAGCTAAGTGAAACTCATCACTCACCACAACACAGTTGGTTGGTTGTGTAATAATATTTAGACATCTTTTTATGATATCAATTATGATAAAATCTGACGTGGACAAAAATGCCAGCTCGGATAACATTAACGACGACGTTTTGCTGATTTCTGATTATTCTCTAAAGAAGAAGAAGAAGAATGGTGACAACAATGGCGATGATGGTGACTTTAGAAGGGAAGAGAGTGGTTTTGGTTCCGTACATGGCGGAGCATGTTCCAAAGTACCATCAATGGATGCAAGACTCGGCGCTTCTTGAAGCTACGGGATCTGAGCCGTTGAGTCTTGAGCAAGAGTTTGAGATGCAGCTTTCTTGGACCCAAGATCCCAATAGTATAAAAAACTCTAAACCCTTTTTAGATATCTCTTAAATCTTCCATCTTCTTTATCTTGATTTCATCAATAGTGTCGTTTTTACTCAATTAGGGTTTAGGGTTTTCTTTTGGACTACCTTAGAATCTCAATTTTGATTGTCTCTGTTTTGAGTTTGTTGATCTTTAGTCGTGTTTGGTGAACTTGTTGGCAATGAGTGGAGTAGATTCAAGACTCTTAAGTACTTGATTAGGTCTGTTTCAAATATAGGATTGCTAATGCTTCTGTTGTTGGTTTCAGAGCGGACTTTCATTGTGTTGGACAAGGATTTCATAAAGGGAGAGCTGATTCATGGCGAACCGCACGTAGAAGGTTTGTTTCTTGAGTTACTTCACTTGAGGAATCGATGTATAAAGGAGATTACTTTAGCATGCATCAGTATGGAATCTTCTATCTAGCTACTGTGACAATGCAACACTCTTTCCCTATAGTTAATAATATAGTGGAATTGTTCTTACAATGAAGTGTGTATAGTGCCCGAAATGAGAACATATCTACAAGACTGCTCCTTTGTTAGTAGTTTAGATCATTGGTGACTAGGTTGGCTTTATGAGTTCTTCCTTCTTCTTTTTGTTAGTTAAAAAGAAGTCTATTTTAGATGAGTTTGGATGTTCTGTTGTGTTTTTTCTGTGGATATTGATTTCACGTTGAGTCATTGTAAATAAGTAACTGAAGCTTTTGTGCAGCCATGACGGGGGATGTGAACATTTACATGAATGATGTTGATGATCCAAAAGTTGCGGAGGTTGAAATAATGATAGCTGAGCCCAGAAGGTAACTTTCTTCTTCCCAATTCGAGTCCTATACACCGAGAATACACTTTAGCTGATGTTACTTCTGTGGACATGATTCTTATTTTTTGTTACAACCTTTGGTAGAGTAGCCGTGGTAAAGGACTAGGAAAGGAATCTGTGTTGATGATGATGGCTTATGGTGTCAAGAACTTAGAGATTCACAAGTTTACAGCCAAAATCGGGGAATCAAACACAGCTTCTCTCAGCTTATTCCGCAAACTGGTACAATAACTCAATCGCTTGTCTCAAATATATGTACTCCATGCCAGAATTTACAAAGAAAAATGGCTAAACACACTTTGTTGTTTGTTGTAGGGTTTCGAGGACTCTTCTTACAGCGGTATATTCAAAGAGGTAAAGTAGTTTACTACTTCATACGTACACTCCAACAAAGGATGTTCCTTTTGGCCTAAACTGGACTGAGTTTCTTTAAATCGACAGGTTACACTCGAGTATATGGTGACTAATCTCCGTCGAGCAGAGCTCTTGAAGTTATTGGATGAAGTCATTACGCACACTCATTCATCTAACAACCCATCAGACTCGCTGCTATCAGGAGAAGCTATTGCATAAAGCATTTTATTCAGTGTTTATTGTTAGTTTACTCTTCAACTAACAAACTCTTGATTCACCATTCTGCATTATCCCAACGGTAGAAGCCTGAACAATGATGGGAACACAATAATTTAATATATGGATTTTATGCAGAATTGCAGACTGATAGTTTTAACAAAACCATAGTAAATGAGCGCCATGAGCGGTTAAATCAAATTAATCAAATGTTTGTCAATTTAGATTTTATATTGTTATTTTTTTATGTTTAGAATAATTACAAAATGATGAGTTTAAAAATATTAATTATGTCTCGATAAAATTTGAAATCTTATCATTTTAGCATGCATCTTGAAGACATGAATGAAGGTGATGTTGAAGTCTCAATCGATATGGGTGTCTTTTCTCACAAAAGCAATTACCACGGATTTGATATTTGTGAGTTTCTCTCTCGACTGTGTGAACTTCTGAAGAACTTAGACTATACTTGCAATAGTTTTCTTTTGTAGTTACTACTCACTAATAAGGCAATAAGTTCGAGATTTGTTAAGTTCATTAGTTAACAAGATTAATTTTTGATATTGGAAACCATTATTACTAATATACATGATCCATTGTTTCAAAGTTGAGTCCTACTATTTGTTAAGCCTATTTAGGGGTTAAGATCATTTAGCGGGCATCCTAACCAGGGCCGGCGCAGAGGACAAGCTACTGAAGCCACCGATTTGGGCCTCAGAACTTGAGGACCTTTTTATCTAAAAATTTGTTAAGTTTTCTTATAAACAATAATTTTTGTAGGGTCTTTTAAAAATATTGTGGGCGTTTAGAGACAACTACAATATTCTTTTTAATGGTAAAAATCTAATTTAAAATATTTTTTTTTATGGGGTTTAATTTTGCTTAGGGCACCCAAATTTACCGGGCCCGGTACTGATCCTAACCACTGAAGTAAACACCACACAATGTTTTTGCATACAAGAGAAGTGAACCGATACATTCGTTGAAAAATCCCCCCAAAAAAGGAGAAAATAAATCATCGTTATTTTACTTTTAAAAAAGTTTTGAACCAATGTTCATATATTTATTTGAAACACTTTCTAATAGAATTTTCCTAACGTAACTATAAAATCCTAGAAAACTGAATAAAACGCAATTTATCATATGATTGTAAACAAAACGCAAACGTGGTTTTATATTGTCCTCCTCCACTTCAATCCACTCATAAGAGAAACTTCCACCACAGATTCTTCCATAATCTCAAAAATCTCTGCGAATTCTCGCAGTTATGGCCTCTTCTCATTCTCTTCTCTTTTCTTCTTCCTTCCTCTCCAAACCCTCTTCTTTCACTTCTTCTCTGAGACGGTTCGTTTACCTTCCCACTCGCCGATTCTGGCCATCGCAGCGACATGGGTTCTCCACCGTCTTCGCCGTCGCCACCGAGCCAGCTATCTCCAACACCGGGCCTAAGAAGACAGAGCCATCAACTGTCGTACTTCCTAGTAATGAATCATCCGATAAGCTGCTCAAAATTCGTCACACGGTACACTTATTTTGGCTCTGTTTCTGTTATGGGATTTAAGAGAATTATGAAATTTGATTCAAGTTCTTTACTTTTATGCTGTTAGTGAATTTGGGTTTTGCAAAAGTTTGAATTTTGATTTCAATCTTATGAGAAATGTTTGGTATGTGGTTTTGGGATAAAGGTTGATGTTTTATGCAGAGCTCTGTTTCTGTTTATGTGGAATTTAGGAGAGTTATGTAATTCTTATGCTGTTAGTGAAGTATGGTTTTGCACAAGTTTGGATTTTGATTCAATTTCATGAGAAAGTTTTGGAATTTTGGTATAAATGTTGAGTTTTTATGCTTATGTGGATTCAGTGTGCGCATGTAATGGCAATGGCAGTTCAGAAACTCTTCCCGGATGCGAAAGTGACGATAGGTCCTTGGATTGATAATGGTTTCTATTATGATTTTGATATGGAGCCTTTAACAGATAAAGACCTCAAGAGGATCAAGAAAGAGATGGTGAGTTTTTGAATAAGTCTTTGAGGGGTTAATGTTTTTGATATTCAGAATAGTATTCATTGTTCTTGCGCCGTTATCTGGTAGGATCGTATTATTAGTCGGAATTTACCACTTTTAAGAGAGGAAGTTTCTAGAGAAGAAGCGAAGGAAAGGATCATGGCGATAAATGAGCCTTATAAGATGGAGATTTTGGAGGGTATCAAGGAAGAACCTATTACAGTTTATCATATCGGTACAGGCTGTTGCTTCTTGCTTGCTTCCATTAAAAGTGTCTTGTCTCTAATTAGTTCATATTAGTTTGGTAATAGCTTGTCTCCATCTTATGCCAGTTCGAATGCCCATCTAGGTAATGAATGGTGGGATCTTTGTGCGGGTCCTCATGTCGAGACCACAGGGAAGATAAACAAGAAAGCAGTGGAACTAGAATCTGTTGCTGGTGCATACTGGAGAGGAGATGAAAAGAGGCAAATGCTTCAGCGAATATATGGAACAGCTTGGGAGAGTGAAGAACAACTAAAAGCATATCTTCATTTTAAAGAAGAAGCTAAACGCAGGGATCACAGACGGATTGGCCAAGACCTCGACTTGTTTTCCATCCAGGTATAGCCACTTTTCCATTTCAAAATGATATTTACTTTTGGAAAAACGTTGCATAAGCTTTCAACTGCAGGATGAAGCTGGAGGAGGGTTAGTCTTTTGGCATCCAAAAGGTGCAATTGTTAGAAACATAATTGAAGAATCGTGGAAGAAGATGCATGTCGAACATGGTTATGATTTGATCTATACCCCTCATGTTGCCAAAGCTGACCTGTGGAAGATCAGTGGTCACTTGGACTTCTACCGAGAGAATATGTATGATCAAATGGAGATCGAGGACGAGCTTTATCAACTCCGACCCATGAATTGCCCTTACCACATCTTGCTTTACCAAAGAAAGCGTCAATCATATCGAGATTTGCCCATAAGAGTTGCAGAGCTCGGTACAGTTTACAGATATGAGTTGTCTGGTAGCTTGCACGGACTCTTCCGTGTTAGAGGGTTCACACAGGTTAACTCAGACGTGTTTAATCAAATCGTAAATTGATCTTAGTAAGTACTAGGATTAACTTAGTTGACATTTGCTCTGCCAGGACGATGCACACATATTTTGTTTAGAAGATCAGATCAAAGATGAGATCAGAGGTGTCCTAGATCTCACAGAAGAGATATTGTCGAGGTTTGGATTCAACAAGTATGAGGTTAACTTATCAACTAGACCTGAAAAATCAGTAGGAGACGATGACATATGGGAAAAGGCGACGTGTGCCCTTAGGGATGCTTTAGATGATAAGGGTTGGAGCTATGAGGTTGATGAAGGAGGTGGCGCGTTTTACGGCCCAAAGATCGACCTTAAGATTGAAGATGCATTGGGTAGAAAATGGCAGTGCTCAACTATTCAGGTAAGAAAGCTTCATCTGCTCTTATAAATCCTGAGCTACTTCTCTATTAATGGGTTCTTGTTGGCATGCAGGTCGACTTCAATCTTCCTCAGCGATTTGACATTACTTATGTAGACACAAACTCAGATAAGAAACGTCCTATAATGATCCACAGAGCGGTTTTGGGATCATTAGAAAGGTTTTTCGGTGTTCTCATAGAACACTACGCAGGGGATTTCCCGTTGTGGCTCTCTCCTATTCAAGTCCGGGTCTTACCCGTCACAGACAATCAGGTTTAACTTGTGCTGTCTCTAGAGTCTTTTGTCTTAACTTCTTATTGGGAAAACCAATTTCTGACTTAATGAGGGAAAATGCAGTTGGAGTTCTGCAAGGAAGTGAGTAAGAAACTGAGAGCTTGTGGAGTGAGGGCTGAGTTGTGCCATGGGGAGAGATTGCCAAAGCTCATAAGGAACGCAGAGACGCAGAAGATCCCGTTAATGGCGGTTGTTGGACCCAAAGAAGTCGAGACTGGAACTGTTACCGTTAGATCGAGGTTTGGAGGAGAGCTTGGAACCATTCCTGTTGATGACTTCATCAACAAAATCAACATTGCAGTTGAAACCAGAACTGCTCTGTAACTTTCATGTAAGATTAGGACCACACAGATCTCTGTTAAGAATTTATTTATTTATCCTTTTTGGTTATTCACATTTTCATTCAACTTTCTATTAGATTATTTTCAAATCACATTACCATCAAAACAGTTAGGAATGTTGAATAACACTAAACAAGAAATAAATAAAAAGAGTCTTATGATATTACATAAATGAGCAGTACCTAATAAGCAAATCCCCGAACATACCACTGAGTTTCATTTATGGAACAATAGATTTTCTTAGGCCATTCGATCTTACTTGTAGTAATATGGAAGACACCGCAACTCGAAACACGATGATCATGATCTTGATGATCTGGCCAGACGTCTGTGTCGATAAAAGAGACTGAATCACTCTTGATTCCATGACCAAGATCTTTAAGAGCAGTAGCTATTGTAACACCTTGACCAAAAACCAACATCTCATCTCCAATAGAATAAACTCTTTCCCACTTGCAACTCTCAAGATTCATCTTAAAGATGTAAAACAAAAGTTTCTCTTCTTCACAAAACACTTGTTTAAGGCTCAAGATGATCAAAACCTCACCTGATGATTTCTGAATCGCTATTTTCCTCTTCCAAACGTATTCGCACGGTTCCTCAACCGCGTTAAACGGATATTTCGAATACGGGTTTTCGGTTTTCTTTTCTATGGGAAAAACTCCAGAGAAATCAAAAATCCTTATGTGATGATTAGCTGCGTAAAGATAAAGCTTATTGTTCTCACAAGCCATATCAAACGAAACCAACCTTTTCCCATTGTGATTTAGATTACACCAAGAAGAATCTCCTTTCTTGTATGAGAACAAGTAATGCTGTATGAATGTCCAAGCAACGACATAATCCCCTGTTGTCTCGTTTATCCATAGAACAGCTACCGAGTTTTTCCATTCGACAGAATCAAATTCATACGAGACATTATCATTACGATAAGACCCGAAGAAGCATCCAGAATCATCGGACCATTCTCTTTCAGGTTTGAAGGTTACTTGTCTTCCACGTATATGTAACTCCATTGATGGAAGATTGATCCTTCCTCCTGTCAAAATGTTCAAAATAGAGAATTTGAGACGACGATCAACCATCAGGAGACAGTTTCCGGAGCTAGCCATACAATAGGTTGTTTTTGAGAGTCCTGAGAGTTTTCTTGTGATTTTTCCTACGGTGGGAGAATCACCTTGGTGTATGAATCGCCATGGACATGGAGGCTTGTTCGCGCATGTTTTCCAAACTGAATACCAATTCGAGCAAACGGTTTTTGCTCGGTGAGAATCAATTGGACTCTTTAAGGTTTCGAAAATCTTGCGCAGAACATCGGGTGGAAGGTTGGACCAATCGCAATCGCGATTTCTAGACACTTTTGGTCTCTTCTTCTTGTACTTGTTCTTCTTCTTCTTCTTTCTCATCAAGCCGTTCCCCATGTCTCTGACTGCTTTACCGATCACACTAAGGTTTTTTGGTTATTTAGCAAAGGGTTTTCCATTTATAAAAGCGTGAGAGATATGCTAGGGTTTTGATTTTTCAATTTTTTTTTTTTTTTTTTTGGAATTGATATGTTTTATTTTTGTCCACACAGCTGTGGTCTAGTGGTGGTTGTGAATTGGAGAAATGTTGGAAGGAACTAACCCAGATTCGATTCACCCTGGAAACAAAAAAACATATTTATGTGGGAAGTCTGAGTTTGGGTCAAAGGCTCAAGCAGTTTACTTGGTAATAACTAACATGAGATCTACCTACCCTTGGTATTAGTCGGAAAGCATTTCAAATTCGGGATATACAGTATGTGGCCTTTCGGGGAGAGGTCCATTATGAAGCACTGGTACGTTTCTACTAGGGCTGACCGGATCAGCATATATGATTTATCGAAGAAAAAAAAATGTTTTATTTTTACTATGGGCCATAACGAAACATATAAACTGAAGTTAGCGAGCAATTAATTTTGTTTTACTTTATGGCCATAACAAAACATCAAATATACAAAAAAAAAAAAAAAAATCTCTTACCGTACATAGTTTTTTTTTTTTTTTTGTATAACATTAAGAAGCTACAAATTCAAATACTAGGACCATGGCACCAATGGCAACATCTCTCTATACATTTTTAAAAACTTGTAATTTTTAAATAATTACTGAAATTGACATTGAAAGAGAAAAAGCTGTTTAAAAAACGGACATTAAATGTTGCATAAGCTTTGAATTGCTGGAGAATGAATAGTGTTTTGGCGTGCAAAAAGGGGGAAATTGTTAAAAAAACACTTAATCATCTAACATGGTTATCGTTGTAAGGAAAAGAGAAGTTCACTTTTTACCTTGTTTCAAGAACCAAACTTCTATGTGAGATCTCTTTCACCTTCATGGGTCTAGAAAGAAAACCCATCATGACTTTTAAAGAGTTGCTAATTGTTACTAGTGGATAGAGATTTCTATTCTTGCATCATCGGTAGACATGGGATGTCCCGATGTGCGATGCTGCCCAACATAGGTTCGTCTGTTCCACTTTCCGCATAAGCAAACGGTATTAGAGTTAGAAAAAGATTTTGAGTGTTACTACTCTCAGCATACTTAAGATATAACTTGTTGCATATTTCCACTTTCAAATTCTATGTACTTACGTAGTTCTTTGCTGAAAAATAAACAATGTCATTTTCCTACAGTCGTCGGTACATTCTAGACTCTACCAAGTTATGTGGATCCTTGTTAGTAGATGGACATTTCTGACATAAACACTAAGTACATCCATCTTTTGCCAAGGTATAGCATTTAATAGAATTCAAAATATCAATAAACCGAATAACATTAGAATTCAGAAGAATATATAGAGTTCACTGAACAAAACTATATTTTAAAACGAGTATAAAATACATCTAACACTGGAAACTTGATTCAAATTCTACTACATTCCTTCAGTAACCCCCTAATAAGCAACTCCCCGAACAAACCACTGATTTTTATTAAAGGAAAAATAGATCTTCTTAGGCCATTTGATCTTACTTGTGGCAATATCGAAGACACCGCAATTTGAAACATGATCTTTATGATCTGGCCAATCTTTATGATCTGGCCAAACATCTTCGTCCACGAAATAGATTGAATCACTCTTGATTCCGTGACCAAGATCTTTAAGAGCAAGAGGTATTGTAACCCCACGACCATAAATCAATATCTCATCTCCAATAGAATAAATTCTTTCCCACTTGCAATTCTCAAGATTCATCTTAAAGATGTAAAACAAAAGTTTTTCTTTATTTTTCACTTTTTCTTTTAAGCTCAAGACTATAAGTACCTCTTCTGATCTCCGAATCGCTATTTTCCTCCCCCAAACGGATTCCCAAGGCTCTCCAACAAAGTTAAACGGATGATTCGAATACGGGTTTTCTTCCTCTATAGGGAAACCTCCATAGAAATAAAAACTCTTGATGTGATAATCACTTGTGAAGAGATAAAGTTTACTCTTCTCACAAGCCATATCCAAAACATCCAAACCTTTTCCATTGAGATTCATATAATTACACCAAAAACCAGTTCCTTTCTAGTGTGAGAACAAGTACTTTTGTTTGAATGTCCAAGCAACAACATAATCTCTTGTTGTCTCGTTTATCCACAAAACAGCTAATGAGTTTTTCAAATAATATTCTGGCTCATCATACCACACGTAATCCTTACCAGAAGGTCCGACCATGTATCCATACTCTGAACTTTTGTCTCCTCCTTTAAAGCTTACTTTATCGCCACGTATCTTCAACTCCATTGATGTAAGATTGATCCTTTCCTTCGTCAACAAGTTATGAATATAGAATTTAAAACGACGATCAACCATCAAAACCCAATTTCCGGAGCTAGCTATACAATAGCTTGTCTTGAGAGTCCGGCGACTTTTCTTTTGCTTTGTTTGGTCGTAGAATCACCCTGGTGTATGATCCACGATGGACATCGAGGCTTGTTCGAGCATGTTTTCCAAACGGAATACCAATTTGAGCAAACGGTTTTTGCTCGGTGAGAATCAACAGGGCTCTTCAAGATTTTGAAGATCTTGCGCAAAAGATCGGGACAAAGCTTGGACCAATCGCCATTTCTAGATGTGTCTATGGCTATCTGCTACCTACCGATCACACTAGGGTTTTCAATTATATAGGCATGAAATGAGAACAAAGATACACTAGGGTTTTTTTATTGTACCAAGTATACCCTCGTCCAAGTTTGGAACGTAAACAACATGTGGATTTTTTAATTTAATTTAATTAGTAAAATGTCAAAAAGATAACAAGTTATTCCAAAGTACTAAAATTAGTCAACGTAACTAGATTTTGAACCCACACATAATTTGGAAAAAGTTATATATATGATTAATGATAGTTATTAAAATATTATCTTTTCTGTATTGGTGTTTGTAATAATATGTGTAATATATGTAACAATTTAAAGTAGTTCGGTTTTTAAATTATTATTGAGAAAAATACTTTTTAATTTATAGAAAGTTATAGCATAAATATAAATTCTATATTGACTATTTTTAATGTGCAATATTAATTAATTTCTTTTTGTTGGTAATATGTAGTCAGATTATTGACTGAAAGTATCTATTTATATTTTTAAGAAATATGTTATTTGATGATTATTGTACTTATTTTCATTTTTCTGAAAAGATTACATATACGCGTGGAAATAGAAAAACAAAAAGTAAATGTAAAGTAGGGATGAAACAATATAAGTTCAAATGTAATAAATAGTTTTTCTAAATGCTTAAATACCGTAATAATGTTTGGATTCTTATTCTCGACAATAAAACTAAAACAGAATTGCACAACACCAAAAGATTTTGGAATATGATTATTGAAAATCAATATAAATTTAATTATATTTATAAGATCATCGTTTTATTTTATAGTAAACAATAGTATCTAACAAGAATTAAAATGAACTCAAACATAAGATTAAAACACTAGATGATACTTATTTGATCTTTGAAGGTAATCACAATGGCCTAACTATTTTCATTGTCTTCTTATGTGCTATTGTCTTCTTCTCAATCCAACTGGTGCTACTCAAAAAAATCTAGAAACTCTTATATGCTAGCAGTTAAACATGACTCCAAATAAATCAATTACTTGCAAGAAAAATTACATTTATTCTTAATACATTGTCTCACAATGCAAAACAATTTGTTATATTTGCTTTATAACAAAAATCATTTATACTTGTTGTACTCTAACTAACGTGTTTCTTGTATTCGTGTCCAAGGCTGGCAAATAGAACTTATTTATTAGTACGTTCATGTAACAGAATTTCTTCCTTACCATTTCGAATACTCAAGACACATCAGCACATTTAGATCTATAGAACTGGAACTACTAATAGACGAGAGTCAAGAGAAGATGGGCTGCTTATATAATGTGCCCAAGAGATACCTGTTTTTGGCTGAGAATATATCCAGAAGGGATGAAACTTGCCGGTTTGTGTATTTGGACCCAAACCTCTAAAATGGACATGGGAGAAAGAAGAGTTCCATGTTTAGTAGAGTAGCTTACATGATTCTGAGGCCTGTTGTGTTCACATTGAGTGTCTCAATAGGCGTAGAGTGTTTGTTGAAGACATTTATTACAGAAAACGGCGTCATAGTCCAAACATCCAATGGCCTATGTGTGTAAGGAAAGAGAATTGTTCACTTTTACCTTGTTTTAAGAACCTAAGATCACAAGTAATTGTTATATGTTAGATCTTTTTCACATTCATGGGTCTCAAAGAAAACCCATCATGGGTTTTAAAGAGTTGCTAATTATGGCTAAAGGATGCTGGGTGTCGATGAGCCCGGAACATTCATGTTGAAGTCTTCATCCACAAAATCCACATTGCAGGACCACAAAGATCTCTGTTAATAATTTCTTTACTTAGCTTGAAATTCTTTTGTAAATTAAACTATGTAAGACTTGTGAGTTGTGAATAAGTTTTTTTAATGAAAAACCCTCTCCAAAGATTGGAACATGTAACATCTTGGGTTCTTCACATTTTTTGTTGAACGTTCAAATGACATTACCATCAAAACCATACAACAATAGAATTCAAAATATCAATAAACTGATGAATAACATTCAAATTTAGAAGAATAAATAGAGTTCACAAAACCATTGAATAACACTAGAACTGAAAAAGAATCTATGAAGATAAATATTGAATAACACTGGAAATTTGATTAAACTTATATTAGTTTCCTACATTCAATAACTCCTAGTAAGCAACTCCCCGAACAAACCAGTGAGTTTTATTAATGAAACAATAGATCTTCTTAGGCCATTCGATCTTACTTGTGGCAATATCGAAGACACCGCAATTTGAAACACGGTGATCATGATCTTTATGATCTGGCCAAACGTCTTCGTCAACAAAATAGATTGAATCACTCTTGATTCCATCACCAAGATCTTTAAGAGCAAGAGGTACTGTAACCCCACGACCAAAACTCAACATCTCATCTCCAATAGAATAAACTCTTTCCCACTTGCAACTCTCAAGATTCATCTTAAAGATGTAAAACAAAAGTTTCTCTTCCTTTTTCACTTTTTCTTTTAAGCTCAAGACTATCAGTACCTCTCCTGATCTCCGAATCACCATTTTCCTCTTCCAAACGTATTCCCACGGTTGCGCAACGAAGTTAAACGGACGACCCCAATACCGGTTTTGTTTTCCTGTGAAAATATCTCCAAAGAAATTGAAAATCTTGATGTGATGATCAATTGTCAACAGATAAAGCATACTGTCCTCACAAGCCATATCAAACAAAACCAAACTTTTTCCATTAGAATTCAAATCTCGCCAAAAACCATCTCCTTTCATGTATGAGAACAAATATTTTTGTATAAAAGTCCAAGCAACGACATAATCCCCTGTTGTGTCGTTTACCCACAGAACAGCTAACGATTTCTCCCATTCAACGGCTTCATAGTCAAACGGCACTTTATCCCTACGAGAAGGCCCGACCAAGTATCCATGGAAATATTCTCTTCCAGGTTTGAACCTTACTTGCCCGCCAAGTATTTGCGACTCCATCGATGGAAGATCGATCCTTTCCTTCGTCAACAAGTTATAAATATAGAATTTGAGACGAAGCTCAACCATCAGAAGCCAGTTTCCGGAGCTAGCCATACAATAGCTTCTGTGCTGGAAGAGTCCGACGAGTTTTCTGTTGCCTTTTCCTAAGGTGGGAGAATCACCTTGGTGTATTATCCTCAATGGACATGGAGGCCTCTTTGCGCATGTTTTCCAAACGGAATACCAACCCGAGCAAACGATTTTTGCGCGGTGGGAATCAACAGGGCTGCTTAAGGTTTCGAATATCTTTCGCAAAACATCGGGACAAAGCTTGGACCAATCGCCATTTTTAGGCACTTTTTGTCTCTTCTTCTTATTCATCTTTTTCTTTCTCGTCAAGCCGTTCCAAGTCTTCAGACTACTTTACCGATCATACTAGGGTTTTTCTGTTATTTATATACTAGGGTTTTGTATGAGATACACAAGGTTTTTTTTTTTTTTTTTTTTTTTTTTTTTTTTTTTTTTTGGTAAATGATATGTTTTTATTTTAGTATATGGCCATAAAAATCAAATATACAAAAGCTCTTAATGGAAATTAGCGAGGCATTAATTTTATTTTACTATATATAACAAAACATCAAAATATAGAAAAACTCTTAGTGGTTTTTTTTTTATAGAATTTTTGCTAAATATACCATATTTTTCAAATTCCTTAACATTTCTACCACAATGGAGAATGGTTTAGCACTTGTACCACTTGTTTGCGGTATTGTGGTAGACGATGGACGATTTTGTCCCTAATGAATACAGGACGAGATAGAATTAATGTATGGTGCGTCAGAAAAAAGTACAGCATATTGAAAAAAGGGAACAACCACATTAAATGGTGACAATGATTATTAGACATTAAAATGTAATACAAAGCATTAATTACTAGGTCAAGACAAGTAATTAATTGATAAAAACGATTGGAGAGATGATACGGGTTAAATTCGGGGACAACTGGATCTCTTGATTGTCCATCGTCAGATGATCAGATGATGTGGTTTTCCAGCCAGAGATCTGGATTTACTCAGGGACAACTTCTCTTGATTGTCCATCGCCAGATGATGTGGTTTTACCAGCCTGAGATCTGAATTTAGTCGGAGACAATTTGATCTTTATTTTATTCCGCCAAAGAGCCGAAGACTTAGATCTAGATTTACTCGGGGACAACTTTGTTTTACCAGCCAGAGGGACGAAACGGTTACCAATGCGTCAAGAGAGAAACAAAGGACAGCAGGAATTTCAGAGGGTCACATCAACCGCAGTTCTTTGTCTCATCGGTTAAAGGGTAAAATGGTCATTTATAATCACAATATGGTGTGAATGATAATTGGGCCTCGAATGTGGTATAGGTGTTAACTTTTGGGCCAAATGTGGTACCAATGCTGATTTTCTCCTTTTTTTTTTTTCCCCTTTAATAACACTCAGAAGCTATAAAAGATCTCAAATACGGAGTTAGCGTATACATGGCACCAATAGCAACATCTAGACTACTAATATTAATTGAGGAATACATTTTGAATCACAATTTTTAATTGGATTCTGTTTAATATCGACCAATAAAAATTCATTTATTGAATAACCAATGAAATATGTTGAACCTGACTTTTAGTTTTTCCTTTTTTGTATGTTCAACTCTCTGTCTTCGGTTCTAGTTCTACATTATATCAAAATTCTATTTCCATTATTGAGTTATGTTTAATTCCGCTTTCTTTCTTCTTTTGTGAAAAAAAAAAAAAAAGAAATGTCGCTAAACCTCTTTGGCAAGAAGGGCTTGTTTAAAGCAATGGAGATCACGAAAACCTGATTCCACACAATTTCTTATCTTATTATGTTCATCATGATTAAGTTCGCCATTAGCCACCCCAAAATGTGAGGTTACATATCTTATTATCATGTGGTATTCATGTCTAATCATAATCTACACGAATATAATGGTTTTAACTTTAATAATCAATCATGAAACGTTAGCAAATAAAAACGTCTTGGTTAATTAATAGAAAATTGGACACCAAAGCATCCAGCACAATCTAGATTCTAAACTGTTGTAATTTCACCAATCATTTTAAGAGAAAAAATTAACAATCGTCAATCGCAATGATGGGATAATTCATAGAGTGAACCGCACTGAGAACATCCAAATCCCAATTTCATTAGTCGACATAACACAAATTTATTGTGTATAAATTAAATTGGCAATGATTATTAAAAAAAGGTCGGTTCATGCTGTGTCGCACTAAACGTGGACATGAGTATTTCCACTTTGTCGTCATCTTCTTGGTACTCTCCGCGTTAGCTAAACTCATTTTTGACCATTCTCCATTCATTTAATATTTATTTTAATTCACTGATTTCTTTGTATCTCCATTCTCCATTTCGACCAAGTTCTTTCTAGTTAATAAATCAGGTTATATCAATTCTTTAATCGTCTACATCATATATATGCACGCTTTTGAATTATATATGGGTTGTGACACAACACTGGTTTGGTATTATAACAAAATACTAGACATAAATCTCGGTCAGTCATATTACATCGATTTTATTATATCATATCATGTTAAGTTCTAAGAGTAATTAGGCAACCGTAATTGTTAAATCGTTTAATATTAACCTAAGCATTAGTGAAACTTTTATCATGTCATAGTTCTGTTAAATAACGTAACATACTAACGACTGTTTTCTTGTAGTGCGATCTTTTTCTTGTTAATGGATATATCGTAACGTTTGTTGTGTATAATTGTATATAATCCGTTTCTTTGTCAAAATTAATCACTATCATTTATTTGGTGGATGAGATTGCCCTAATATTATGTGGTCATAAATCAACTAACTCATCAATCATTATCAAATTCAAGAATCTCCAAGTTATGTAAACAAATATGTATGTGGGTAGGTTTATCAAACACACCTAGCATAACAGTCAAAAGATCAAAAAGTAGATGTGTAAATGAAAAAAGTGAAATATTCCTAGCTAAGACATCTTCTTTAATAAACACAAACCTCATGGACACAAAAGAAAAAAAGTGAACAGCCTTTGTATATCTCACTAGATTCCCTAATATAAAGCCATCAACACAAAAGAAATGTGTATTACTAGCTAAATTAAGTCGAGATATATATAATTACATTAAGAGAGCGTATCTCATGCCATCACAAACCATGAGATGGTTAACGTCCGAGACTCTACCGTAATCTCCCGACACCCAAACACCATCTGCCCGGCTTACTCGTGGAACCGCAAAACATGACATGATCGATAACGGAAACTTCATCATTCCACCGTTACTCCCGTTTCCTCTCCCCTGATCTCCGTTAACTGTCGTCGAAGGCAGGGCGCTTTCGTCCGCCACACGTGGGCTTTTTCGAAGATTTTGAAGGTTTCTCCTTAATATAGACAACATCTTCAGCATCTTTAGTCTTACCTCTTTTAAAACTTTTTTTGGGTTTTGGTGTTTGGAGAGAGCAAATGAGTTTTTGAGGAGGAAGAAGAGAGGTTACTTAGGGTATTTATTGGGTAAAAAGTGCAAGTGGCCAATTTGGAAAATATTCCTTTTTGTTTATTTGTTATCTAGTCGTAGTGCTTGTGTTGATCATGGATATATATTTTTGGTTTTAATTTTCAACAAAAAGGTTTTAGGAAAGAAAAAAGGTAAATAGTGGAGATAGAAACTTGAGGCTTTGCTTTAGGAACTGGCCCCATGATTAATAGAGTTGGTGGGGTCTTATTTTACTTGGGTATTATCTTAAAACAAACAAAAAAAAAATTTGACAAGAAACAAAACTGAGTGGGATATGCATTTTAGGTTTTGAAAGGTTATTTTACACATAGAATGATAGAACTAAAGAGTGCTCGTCTGGTGGTCCCGTGTTCGAGTGGTGATGATTTATCTAATGGTTTGACTCCGAGATTTTATTTGATCCGAAAAATATAACTCCGTAATTTGTTTTATAAATTATAAATTACGATATATAGATTCAGGTTTAGATTCACTTTCATATATACATATGATCATTTATCACAAAAGAATGTGTAGTATTTCTAAAATTTCCTTACTGTATATATGTTAATTTTTATTATATATGTAGTGTGTGGTGGCTATATGAGTCTTTGAATATTTGCTCTTTTTCAATCTATTGGTCGGTGCGGATTGGAAAATATATTCATTTTGGTTTTTTTAATTAATATTTTTGATAAATCAGAGGAAAAAAAATCTAAAACCAAATCATACCGAACGGGCGAATCCTTGTGGTTTTTAAATATAACCATAAACAAAGATACCAGAAACCAAAGAAAACCGAGCAAAACACACAAATCCTATACTATTATTTGGGAAGTACAATTTACGATTACCCTTAATTAACCTTCCCTTTTGTAAGAATTTACTTAAGAATGCCATTAGAAATAAATTTTTTAGAGTAAATTAGGATAAACAAGTCAAATACTATTTTATGCAATATAATTAATTTAATTTAATTATAAAAACGAAAATCTATTATTAATTTCTTTAAAAAGAATGACCAATAAAATGAACATATAAAATTTGATATCTAACTTACCATATTAATTTGTTATTAATCATTATACTTCACCTTTCATCTTTATATGATTCTATTTCTATAAATAAATAAATCATTATATCATCTATATAATAAAAAAAAAAGTAAAATTTTTCCGCATATACCATGATTTGAATTTTTAAAAACGAATATAAATTATTCAATGTATGAAAGAACAAATCTAACGGGTCAAAAATTTATATTTGAGTAATATATTCCTTGTTTTTTTTAATATCATCAATACTTAATAGATCAAAAATTTATGAAGTATAAATACTCTAATTTAATTTTTTGAAACAAATATTTATAATATGCGGCGGGTTGAATATAATATATTATATGATGAAATGAGTTATGATCCTTATAACTATTTGAATATTTATATTTAATTTCATATCATTTTTTTTAAAATTCATAATTTTACATACTATAATAAAAAAATTAAATATTTTAATTTAGAACATTTTTAAAATTTTAATTTAATATATTAAAGAATATCATAAATATTTAATAGATAAAAAAGATAAAAAGAAATTATAAATACATTAATTTGATTTTCTAAAAAGATATGTTTAAAATATTTATAGTAGACGGCGGGTTAAAAGTAATGTATTATATAGTAGAAAGTTATGATCCTTTTAACAAACGAAATTTTAAGATTTTATGATGAGATGGGTTAAATAAGTTTTGACACTTCTAAATATTTGAAAATTTGATTCTGCAAGCAATTTTGAAAATAATAAATAATAGATTGTGCCGCAATATTTTCATAGGGATTGTAAAATGAAAATATAGACTCCACATACGGATTGAATTTGGTATTATTATATACCAAATATATATTCATAACATATTTGATTATGTGAATAATTGGTAAATTCCGTAATTAACTCAAACAAATCTCTATTTCAACAACCAATGTATCAGAATTTGAAAAAATAATTTCCTAAATTAATTTAAAATAATAGCTAATTTTCTTAAGTAATTCAAAATAATCTACGTTTTAGATGCGATTCATTTATGATATTTTGATTTTTGATCTAACTAAATTATATGCACTCTCATTTTGTGGTTGTTAACATAAATTAACTCACTATTCAAACAATATTATTTTTTTAAAACAATCTTATTTTTCGTTTTCATAATTAAAAAAAAATATATTCATAATTGAATACTATAGAAAAAGGAAAATATATTCATTCTTATATATAGGGACTGAAAAAAAAAATTATTTTTTCACTTAAAATTATAATATATCATTCTAAAACATAAAATTTATAAATTTTGTAATAGATGAAATTCAACCCGTACTACAGTACGGGTGCTGATCTAGTTACATACATTTAATCAAACTGATAAATCGAAAACCAAAAAATAACCAAAATCAGAAGAACCGTAAAAGTACTTCTATGTTTTGAATTCCATCACTTCAGCTCATTTGTATTATTGTCCAGTTTGGAGTAAGAAAATTTCAATAATGTGTTTCATTTGCTCTTCTTGTTTTTTGCTTAAAATTTTTTTTAGTTAGTTAAAAGAATAGATTTTAATAACTCAAGAAGAGTATTTATAAAGATAGACAAAACCTACAAAATAATACTAAAATAAATATATAGTTTAAACTTTCAACTACTAACTATTACAAATCTTAGTATACAAGTGAACATTGGTTTCATCTATTATTAAGGTGGATATTAACATTAGCTTCTTGGGAGTCGCTCCAAGATTTGCATTTCTCCGGTCAGATGTTGGACAAGTTCTGTGTTCCAAAGATTAAAAACAAAAGCAAAACCAAAGAGACTTAGAAACAAATAAAAACCAAAGTCTTTTTGATTAAAGCTTGTAACTTGTACCATTGGTATAGTTTCGGCAATCATGAAATCCAACTCTAAGATCAGTCTCCCATGAGCCATTAAACTCAGTTGCCATTTCCATAGCATTCCCTTTAGATGATCCAACCAACCAACATCTTTGTCTTGGAACCTTCTTCAACCTTCTTTCAAGAACTACACCTGTAACCAAATAGTTTGGTCAGAATCTTGACTACATTTTCAAGATTCCTTCCTACTTTATCATTTTTTAAGTTTATCTACAATAACTCCTCCATGATCAAAAAGATTCGTTGAAAATCAGAGAAAGATTGTCTGAATCACAGATTACATTCGATATCATTGTCTGGGAATCAGAACCTGGAATCAAATTTCCTGACAAAACTGAGATTGCTGCTTCTATACTTTCTGGATTACGTGGCTGAAAATCAAACACAATGACCTAAAGATTCCACAAAATGGATTAGTTTCAAGAATATAACTCATTAAGGCATGTAAAGTGAAGTTATAAAGACAGAGAAACCTCTTGATGAGTTAGAGAAGAAGGTTTGATGAGGACCATGAAATGTTGTAAATTCGAGAGATTAAGTGAGTAAGCCATTGACATAATAAGTTGTGGCGGATCGGCCGCGGCTTTAAGCGGCACTGCCGCTACGTAGACGGCGTCTCCGCCACCACTCCTGGTGGTTGGTGATGGTGTGAAGAGAGAGGCCATTGTGTTCCTCTGTTTCTATGTAGATTCAAAGGTTATCTCCTTTATGGACCATAAATATTTTTTAGATAATTATCCTAAATGTGAGGTCATAATTTAGTGATTTAAAATTATGGACGAAATTAAACCTCTCATAAGATGGTTTACATTAGCTTGGATATGAACCAAAATCAACTAGGGCTTGATTGGTTCTCCCGCTAGCACCATCCTAGCGGTTACTAGCGGTCGGTTGCGGTTGTTAGCGGTTGGTACCAATCATAGAAACCGCTCCGTACTGCTTCGAACTGCTCGAAATCGCTAAATTTCAAAAGCTCCTTCCCGCAAGCGTTTGCGGTTGCGGGCGGTAGCGGTTGGATTAAAAAAAAAAAAAATCAAACGTTTACTTATAATTATTATAATATATATTAATCATATATAAATCTTTCATCTTTGTATCACGTTCTCATCAGAAACCCTAATAATATTTTGAAACCCTATTTCTCTCAATGTCTTCCATCCAAACTGATGAAAATCAATAACCAAACGTAAGTATCATATATCATTTTATTCATTCATCACCTCATGTGTAACTTTTTGAATATTTTTCATGGCATCGTTTTTTTTCTTTTCATTACGTATTGCTTTGCTTTTTGATTGAATATATGTTTCGATTTGTTTTCTCGAATAGAAACTCACTTGCTTTTTGATTGAACTCAACGTTATTTACAATTTGTCCCATTACTTGATGTTAAACGAGATGCATAAAGTACTATCTTGTTACAAAATTTATTTATTTTTGAATAATTATTTAGTTTTTATTTATGGTTTTAATTATTAAGCATGTTCAATTTTTCTAATATTATCATAATAATATATTGGTGTTTTTATTTCTTTTTATTGTTATATTTTTTATTTATTTTGGTCATTTTTTTATTTAACTGCTACCGCACCCGCTGGTTTACCAGTCATAAAACTCCCGCAAATGCACCCATTTTCAAACGCTAAACCAGTCGTTCAAAACGCTTGAAGACGCAACCGCCCGCTTCCGCAAACTCCCGCAACCGCAACCGCAACCGCTGCGTTTAAACCAGTCAGGCCCTAAAGAGAAGCAAATGGAGGAACTATCTCAATTCACAAGAGTGAGAATGGTAATCTACATAATAATAACAATCTCAGTAAATATAAAGTTGTCTTTTTTTTTTTTTTAATCATAACTTATAGTAAAAGCATTTTTAAATTAATTTTTTTTTAATCTCAATAAATAATTTTTAAGAGATGACAAAAAAGCTTTATTCATTCTTACAAAATTTGGCAGGCTCAAAACGAGTTAAGGCCCGTCAAAGACAGAGGTTTAGACAGATTGGACTGGGCCGAAAAAAACCTATTATTCCGAGCTCGAAAAAAGTATTCCAGTGGAGGTGAATAATATTTCCGCCTCAAAAATGGTTTAGCTGACAAAAACATACTCCCTCCGTTTCATATTAAGTGTCATTTTAGCCTTTGAATTTTATTTTAAAATAAGTGTCGTTTTGTGTTTTCAATGCAGATGTTTGGTAAAATTTCTAGTTTCGTCCCTACTAATTATATGTATTGACCAATGAAAAAATAATAAAATATATAGATAATGAATAAAACAGAAAATTTAATTGTTTTTTTAATAAGTGTGCAAAAACCTTAAACGACACGAAACATAAGTAACATTCACTATGACAAAATCAGAACTAACTCACATTATGATTAACAAATCCCAAGCAGCATATTGGTAGTTTTAATTCCCGAGACACAGTCACACGAAACTAGTCTACAAGAAAGTTACGGTCATTGAGTGCTTACATTAGTGAAACAACTTCTGCATATAACACATTTATATAAACCATATACTCCCTCCGTCCCACAAAGATAGATTTTTTAGAAATATCACATTCTTTAAGAAATAATGTATAATGACAATTTTAACCTTTTAACTTTTTAACATATTTTAAAGAGTATATTATTTATTGTTGTTTAATAAGGGTAAAATAGGTAAACTGTTTTAAATTTGATATTGGAAACACAAAACTTCTATCTTTGTATGACAAATTTTTTTTCTAAAAAATTCATCTTTGTTGGACGGAGAGAGTATTTTCTTAATTGTTCCAATATACGACATTATAATTTAGTGACTTGTATTAAAATTATATCAAAGAGAATGAACTTTAAACCTCTTGTTATCATTTTAACTTGCAAATGAAGCAAAATCAACTACAGAAAAGCAAAATGGAGGAACAATCTCAATTCACAACAATGGTAATGACAACAATAATAATGATAAAAATGTATAATAAAAAATGGGTTTCAAAAATCAAAAGATAATTGGAATGATGTAATACAATCTTTCACATTGTAACTTAGAACATACTCAATCTGCTAAACCATTTGATCACAAGAACAATGCCACCAAACCGGAAAGAACCATGGCGGTTGGAGCAAGTGGCAGCTTCTGTCCTGAGTTCTTGTGTGAGGACTTTGGTGAAGTAGAATTGGCTTCGGAATCAGCAGAAGGAGAATCGGAAGGAGCGGTAACAACAGGAGCAGGAGCTGGAGCCGGCATTGGAGGGACATCAGTACCAAAGATTGCTTCAGGTAGAAGCACGCGGTTAACTTGGTAAACAGCAACAGGGTCAGTGGAGAAAACACTGCTGCTAACTTTAGTCCTGGTCCATAGAGAATCAATTCGAACCGTGCCAGAAACATCTGTGAATTTCAAGGAGTATTGACCACCAGCAAAGGTACTCACTGGACCAGATTGGCTCAAGTTCTTGAATTCCGAAAGCGAATAGTAATGAGGAAGAGCATGGAAGAGAACAAGCTGCTTGAGCTGATCCTTTGTGAGATTTGACAAAGGAGGATTCTTCTGAGCCTTGAAAGCATCATCCTTGGGGACAAAGATTGTGATGCCTTCCTCGGTGTTGTTAGCTTGGTTTTGGAATGTCTCAATGACTCCAGTTGATAGAAGGTAGTCAAGGAAAGTGTGGAACGGACCAGCTACACTTAAAAGTGCGGTGAGATTCACATTTTCCGGGGCTGGTGCTGGAGCTGGTGTCGGCGGCAGGACTGGAGCCGGAGGGCTTGCGGTTTTAGCAGATGCAGAGCAGACGAGAAGCGCAACGACAGCGATAAAGATTGATAATTGCTTCTTTGCCATCGTTTCTTGAACTCTCCCACTACATTTCAAGAAACCAAATCAGTATTCAAATTGAACAAAGATCGAATCCCTATCAAGAACCCATGAACTATATCTCAGATCCGGATCTGTTTTCAACAACAAATGATCTTTGAGTTCTTTAACAGGATCAAAGATTCTATAGCTAACAAACTAAACCAGTGTTAGTTAGTTAAGTCAGATCTTGAACTAGTTTCTTCAACATTACTGGAAAAAGAAAAACAAACCGACACAACAACAAACATAAAGACAGTAAGAAGCTAAAGTTCACAAGACCCAAGAAGAAACTAGATCTGGATCAGACAAAAACAGAAACTTAAGACAACAAGTGTAAAGAAGATACATTCATGGAACTAGTAGTTCAATGGCATTGTTAATTCAACTGTACCATAAAGTAGAAGAGAGAGGAGAGAGGGAAGAGGGAAAAGCTGACCTGAGCAGAGCAGAGGAAATAATGGTAAAATGTGAAGTCTTCTTTGTTTCTTAGAAGATGAAAGAAGCAGAGGAAGAAGAAGAGAGATGGTATTTAAAGAAAGATTTATTATTAAAAAGGAAAGTTTTTTTTTAAAGACAGGCTGTTGTATTTTGCTGTAACTTATGCGGTGTAGGTGTTGTTGTTGTTGTTGCGGCACCTTCTGGTGGTCTTGTGTCTTGTTTATGCCGTTTATACAACAACATCATAACCTTGTTTTTATTCGATCATTTGTGTTTTGTTTAACCCTAAATACTCATCTTGATTTTGTTTCTTTTACCTATGAATGATTAGTGAGGGGTTTTGATGTCTTTCTCAATCATTAATTCTTGTTTTATTATTTTCTTTGTTTATCATATATTGTTGCATTATTATTTGTTTAAATATATAAATACATTTTTTCAACAATTTCAATTATTAATTTTTCTATACATTATCTAAAGTCTAATGGTTATACTCCCTCTGTTTCACAAAGAGTGTCATTTTAGAGTTTTGCACACACAGATTAAGAAAACATTAAATTTTTTGTTTTTTCTAAACAAAAACATCATTAACTATATACCTAAACATAATCTGCCCAATAGTAAAACAATATGCAGAATACTAATAGTCATAAAACATAAAAAATCACTAAATTTTGCATTGAAAACCTAAAACGACACTCTTTGTGAAACAAAAATAAAACCTTAAAACGACACTCTTTATGAAACGGAGGGAGTATCATTTATGACGGTGTAGACGCAATGGATGAATTTTAAATGTTACTGAGCAATTTCTATGATTGATATATCGGTTAAATATGATTATGGATTAGACATTTTTGAGTGGTTGACTGTGGAGAGCGTAATGGTTAAATGTATAGTATGTGAGTTTGAATCCGGGTGGTGATCACATTAATGATAATAGCACAAAGCTATGATCTGCGAACAATTAATTATAATTTCAAAATTTTGATTTTTGATTTATTTAGTGTACTTATTCATTTAATATTATATTTTATTTTTGATCTACTAGTAACATTATATTATCTTCACAAGGTGCGCATGAACATCCCCATTCTTTAACTTGTATTGTAATATAAACAATTACTTGGAGATACTTTAAAGGAATTATTACGTTAAGTTGAAAATTGGTTTAAGAAAGAATAAAGAGAACTCGTTTTATCCTTAATCCCGGATCTCATAGAACTTTTATCTTTATCGGTAAGGGTCAAGGCGTCAAGCTATTAAACCACTCAAACACAATCTGAATATAGTTGTTTATGTTTCGAAACATATTCACAACTCATATTTTCACTTAAGGTTTAAATATCAATCCAACATAAACCAAATGCCACCAATAATCTAGATCTCTCCACTTCTTTTCAAATTTTAACTAGTTTTAACATCGAATTGGTTTAGAGAACGCAACACGGTGTTCTATGAATTTTTAACTACTTTTAGCAATTATAAATAATTTCTCATAATTCGTGAACTGTAAGTAAAACTAAAATAGATATGGAAGAAACTTAGAAAGCAAATCGGAGTATGGTGAGCTTTCGTAATCACCCTTCAACATATTTTTCTTCTTCTTTAATTTTGACTCATCACTAACCTTGTGGTATACGCTTCATTTAGATACTCTTTATATTCCTATTCATAAAAAAATATTACAAGCACAGAAATTACGAAACTGTGATAAAAAATACATAGTAAAACTAATTTAATCAATGAAAAAATACTCAGAATTTGAATGATCATAAAATATTAAATAAATATATATTGGGTTTAGAAAGTTGAAAAATCAAAATGAAACAAACAAAAACTTTTATAAAATCTTAGAAAAGGAAACGGAAGAAGTATCATAATTTACTTAATAAATCATATAACATGTTTAATTTTGTATGCATACTCTCCTCGTATGGATATAACTTGTTTCATTGACCATTTCTGAGGTAAAACTATTTTTTCCATTGATATGTTGTACTTCTTATGACTTAAAATCATAGATGATATAAGTAAACTTAGGATCAATTAGGTTTGGAATTGAAGCATATGAAACTTAAGCACAATCTGAACTGAAATTAAGCAGATCCGAAAGTCGTCTGATCTAAAAATTCGATCTAAATTAAGCCAATCCAATTTGAAATCTTGTCGAGAATGAATGACTACAAATGGTATTAATTTAGGAGACAGTGTACAATGGTATTAAGGAGACAGTGTATTAAAATTTACTCATCAAAAGTAAGATGATAATTAAAATAAGATATAAGAATCATGAGTCAATTTACTCAAAACTTATTACTTTTGAATTGAAAATTATAAAAATAATTTTGATCTTTGTAAAAAATGATAGAATTTCAAATTAAAAATTACATAAAATTTAGATTAACATATTAATGGAATCCTAAATTTTTTGAGAATATATCAAAGTACGAACATACATTTTATTGACTGAAATTAATCCGACTTATACCCGAAATGATCCAACCCAAAAAGATATGGATCATTTCATTCATATCTAATTAGTTTTGGTTAAAAATCATTTATTTTGGCATGATATCGATAACGAAACCAGAACAGAAATTCCGATTATCCAAGATAAAACGGATCCAAAAACAAACCGATCCAACTTATCACTTTAATCACTATCAATTTGTTTGACAATACATTGCTTTTTCTTTGTCTAAAATTAATTTTAGTTCAAAGATACATTACTTGAACGATGATACCAAACTATATAAATAATGAACTTACCATATATATATTTTGTCTTCAGCAAACTGAACCACCACCATATCCAAATATATAATCACTATTCTGACAATCAGTCTGCTGACAATCTAACAAACCATAATTACGTAAGCTTAATAATTAGCAACGACCGACTATTTTGTCACTATTTATAAAATTATTGGTGATATTTCAAATCCATGCAAATAACTTAATATGAGTGTGTATATATAAATATAACAGAAAATAAATTAGGTAAACAGCAACATATATAGAAGTCTTTTCTCGCAAAAGTTGCTATAATTAGAAAATAGGAAAAATATATATCGACAAAAGATTGTGTGAAATTCAACATGCTATTTTACTTCAGAAAATCTATTCATTTAGTACTTTTTGTTGATGAATATACCATTTTAACGCCTTAAGAAAATATATAGAATTCTAAAATAATACATCTTACATTCATATAAATATAAAAAGTTATTTAGTAAAGTAAAATTTCGCATCAAAATCTATATATAATAGCAATCTAATAAATACGATTTGCACATCTGAACGGTTGCATCTTTTTATCGCAACCTTTCGTTTAAATCGGTTATTTTTTTACGGTTATTTTGGTTGCGTCTTTTTATCGTAATTTTCGTTTTAATCGGTTATTTTTTTACGGTTATATCGTTTCCAATAAATACCATTTGTACATCTGAACGGTTGTGTCTTTTAATTGCAATCTTTTGTTTAAATATTTATGGTTGTTTTTCTTACAGTTATTTTTGTACGGTCATGTTGTTTTATTGAATTTCTTTTTACGTAAACCAATAAACTACATATAAAATTGTTTATTTCATAGTTACATATGGTTATATTTTTAATTTTTAAACTAAAATTTATATTTTACGGGTATGTTTTTTCGAAAATTGCAATCCGAATATCTCTGCGGTTGCTTCTTTTTATTGTACCTCTTCATAAACAGTTGCAACCTTTTATTCGAATTATTGCAATATTTAGTTTATTTCAAGAACAATTGCAACCTTTAGTTTATATCACAAACAATTGTAACCTTTGGTTTATATATTTAGTTTATTTCACGAACGATTGCAACCTTTGATTTATATATTTTGTTTTGTATTTCACGAACAATTGCAACCTTTGGTTTATTTTACAAATTGCTATAACATCTAATTATCTACCGTCGCGTCTCTCGGTATAATTTTCATAAATTAATATTTTTAATTTTTAATTACCAAAATGCATTTAAATGAGATTGTAATCGTTTAATTGAACCGTTGAAACCTTTGGTTTATTTGACCAATCATTGCAATTTTTTGGTTTTGTTTTACGAAGCATTGTAATCTTTAGTTTATTTGACGAACTTGAGGAACCGCTACAACTTTTGATATATCGCAACATTTTATTTATTTCCTTTTAACCTAAAAAATTATTTTACGTTATGTTTTTTGAGAAAGTTGCAATCCGAGTAAATATTTTTTACGGTTGCATCTTTTTATCGTAATTTTTCATAAAATGATTGCAGCCGTTTAGTTGAACCATTGCAACATTTAGTTTATTTCACGAAAAATTGCAACTTTAAGTTTATTTTATAAATCGTTATAACATTTAATCATCTACCATCGTTATTATTAATTTTCGTTTGATATTTTTCTAACGATTTTTGAAATATTTTCCCCCACGACATCGCGGGGTCCGGAGTCCTAGTTAAGTAAATAACAATGTATAGAAAAACTCGTTTTCTGCAAGAATAAATTTATCTAAACCAATCATTTCAGATGTATTATATATCTATTTAAAAAATACGTTACGAGAAAATAAGGCATCTTATAACAGTTAAATCATATGTAATGAAGTTGCTCATTAACTTGCTAAAAAAGGATGTTTAGATTCAAACTTTTTTTCAGGATGTGTCAGTACTCCACCATTTTGTTTGGCTGAAACTTTGTATTTGTACCGTATTTATTCAATCTAAGTGATCTTTTGCCGGAAAAAAAAATCACATAAATAAAATCATCCGAATAAATGAAATTTGTTTTGGTTTGCGTGAGTCAAAAATGATTTTTGCTATTTTATTAAATATCGATTTCTACTTGTTAGGCATAACTCTTCCGGACTATGATATATTGATATCGATTGAACATCTCTTTATGTCTGAAATTTTGGTTCTCACCGACAAAAATGACAAGCACTTTCCAGATATATAGTTGTTTGGATATAATAAGCCGACACAGAAATATAATTCAGTTAAAATGAATTCATAATGGAACGTAAAGTCGAAAACCCTATTCCTTATTATTATCCACAGGATCTAAACTCTTCCAATATCCATCTATTTGGCATTTTACTTTATTAGTGTTCTTCTCTAAATTACCTTTCCCATTGTTGGTTGTGTCAAAAGGATATGTATGACCTTCCTTAAAAGCCTTATATTTGCTTAAGGCGTTGTTGATAATGTCGATGGTGATTCCCTTTAGACGCTCTAATATATTTTCTCATGTCCAATTTTTTCAGATAACCGACATGATGATCTATGAAAAAAACTTCACGGTCACA